ATTAGCTTATAATAATTTCGGTCGGTTTTGGTTCGCAAAATTAAAACCAAATTTTTTTGGTTAATTCAAAATCGGTTTCGGTTTTAAACCGAAACCGGTTTTGCCCACCCCTACCTCAGGCTATATCTGAAATCAACAAAACTAACCAGATAGTGTTGGTACGGAATTTGTCCATGTCGGGTTTGGTTTTGGTGTCCTTGCTCTTATCTCGTGGTCGTACCTCGGAATGTCTTCGGGTAACCTCGAAGTCCAAGGATGATTGGAAAGATACTTCTACGTCCAAATAAGAAATAAAACGTGAACTTTAAGAAAATATTTGGAAGGTGCACATGTGCCGACTTGAATGACCTTCTTGCTAGGAGGCCTATCCCAAAATGGGTTTGGCCTCGACATATAAGAAACCAAGACGTACGATCGTGAAGAAAACATATATATTAATGCAAGCTTTTTCTCATTTTCATTCCATGAATCAGAGACTCAAGAAAGTCTCACCTCCTTGAATCTTATCCTCGGCCGGTCTGATGAGACTAAACTAAACAAGGTATACATTTTTCTCATCTAATCTTCTTCATTACCATAAATCTCAAATTCTCACAAAAACCATAAGGGGGATATCCTTACAAATTTCAGATTCTCACCCAGCAAACATGCATGCATGAATTATATTTGTACAGTGGATTTGCATAAGGGGATATCCTTACAAATCTTATATTCTCATAAAATAGTTAAAGGAGCCTCGGCACCGTGCACAATCGACTGTGGTGTGAGAAACTATTGTACAAAAAGCGGCTGCATTTGGCCTGCGATGGAGATGAAACTTCCGGTTAAAAGAGTAAGTCGTTTCAGTTTTAAGTTTAAGGGGTAATTAATAGGTTAAATCAATTTAGTCCTTCGACATTAGCGTTTTACATAGTTTTCATTTCTTAACTTTCTTTTTGTGCTTTTTGGTCGGCCTCACCTTATATACAATCTCTTAATCTAAACTAGTATTAATTTTTTTTTTTTTTGGTTAAGTTGGATAATAAACTATATAACAAAGAATAGTCATTCATTTCCCAAACTCATCTTCATTTATTTTAAAATTTAAATTTAAGATTTTCAATTTAAAATTTAAATTTAAGATTTTCAATTTAAAATTTTAAGTTTTTAACTATTGTAATGTCTTATAGTGGATTTAAAAATAAAAAAAAAATGTGGTAAGACAATCTTTGTATACAAACTAGTATGATAAAATATTCAAATTCACCCTCAAAGTATAGTGACAAGGACAGATCCACCTCCAAACAAAAAATGAGGATAAATCCACCCATAAAGTTTTCGATTTAGACAAATCACCTTCAATTTAACGTGTGACGTCATTTGATATCAACAATTTATTAATTTGACATCATCTGACGTCAGCAATCGGTTAACAAATTAACGGATTGTTGATGTTAAATGATGTTACACGTTAAATTTAGAGTGATTTATCCAAATCGAAAATTTTGTTGGTGGATTTGTTTCTATTTTTTGTTCGGAGGTGGATCCGTCCTTGCTACTATACTTTAAGTGTGGATTTGGGTATTTTGCCAACTAGTATCATCCAGCTTACTTTGTTGGTTGTTGCTATAGATATTTCTGTTTTTTCTATAAAAAGTTATTATTAGATGTAGATAATAAAATAAAATACAAAAAAAATTGTGATATATGAAATAATTAATCTTTAGATGTTTTAATTAGTTTAAAAGGTCTTATAATAGTATGTGAAAATATGTGAAAGAAAGATTGTTCATAGCAAATTTAATTTATATGATATATGTACAAAATAATTAATTTTAAGATCAAAACAAAAAAATTATTTTTCATAAAAATATATAAACTAAAAAAATTATTATAAAAAATATAAATTGGAAAAAAAATTCCATGCAAATCAAAAAAGATATAAAGTAAAAACTAATTATATCAAATGTTATTATACAAAAGAGGAAACAAA